TTGAATTGGGATGCATTCTTTTCGGTGTACAGATAACAACAGCCAGGCTTATTCAAGAGTCGAAAGCGGCGAGTGCTGGGATGATCGTGTTTTTCTGGTAAAAATCATCTCTTGGGATTGTGAAAGTTGGTTGTGGTTAATAGTAAAAGATATAAAAAACTTCAGGACTTTTATTAATAAAAGATCCCTTTTAGATTGATTTTTTTAACCATTTACGGCATAGCTACCCGATCATGATCAATGCAATTAACATTCATCAATAAAATTGAATTCGTACAACACGATTTCTGCAACTCTTTGTAATGGACAAGAAAGAATATGCATGCATTCAGATTGCTTTACAACAACAACAACAACAACAACAACATACCCAGTATATTCCCAACTGGTTGGGGTTTGGGGGGTCACGCAGACCTTACCCTTGTAATTATACAAGGAGGCTGTTTTCGTAGCGACCCAAGGTGCATTGCGTCGTTTGATATATTTTTTTTTCTAGAAACTTCACTAATAGAAGAAGCACTAGAATTTAATTGAGTCATTTTGATCTAGTCCATTATTAGCACTATGCCAAGAGAATTGTCAACAATGACTCTTCCAGCTCAATTTGCAATGGACAGTTGCACTATGCATTCGGATTGCTTTGGTTCCTTTATTTTACTTGTGGTCAAATATTTGAGAAATGGTGTTTCATTCATAGTTCATCTAGAAATCTGGAAAGCATTTGAACCAAGAGTTACTCTTACCAATGATATAGATGTCATTTCTCAAAGCCCGGAAATACCGCTTGTTTTGTGTTGCTTATTTTCTCTCGACTATCCAATAAACACATGAAACACCTCATTTTAGGATTCACCCGTCAAGAAAATAGCTTCCAACAACTCCATCAGCGACCCAAGCCCTGCACTCGAATCCTCAAAATCATGTTCAGATCACGAGCGTGAAATCGAACATCTCCAGGCCCATGTCAAAACCCTCGAGGAGAGAGAAAAGGATCTCGAGAACCAGCTCCTTGGGCACAACGGCCTCAAGGATCACGAAAATGCCCTTGTCGAGCTCAAAAACCAGTTGAGGCTGAACAACATAGAGGCCAAGCACTATAACCTCAAGATCGAGTCCCTGATATCGAATAACAAGAAGCTTGAAGCCGGATTGGCCGACTATGAAAATGTCGTGACCGAGCTTGAGGGGGCTCGGGGAAAGGTGAAGGCATTGAGGAATAAACTAAAGTTAGCGGCCGAGCAGAATCAAGAGCAGATTCTGGTGCTTCAGGATAGGGTGATGAGGCTCAAGGATAAGGAGAAGAAGACAGACGAGATCAATCGGGAGCTGGAGGCTGTGGTGAGGGAGAGGGAGGAGCTTACGAGGGAGCTTGAGGAGATGAAGAAGTCGAACCAAAGCTTAAGGCTTGAGAACTCGGACATGGCTCAGAAGTTGGGTTATGTGCAAATGCTTGCTACGACTGCTTTGGACAATGAAGAGGTACTGTGTATGTGTGTGTTATATTCTTTTATTTGTTATTTCAATTACATATATGTGGTTGAATGAAAACAACCCAAGATTTAGCCTAATAGCCAAAGAAAGTGAGCTAACTTTGAAATTTATAATAACCGCACTTGTAGTTGCATATAGCAGACTAGCTCATATTTTGCAACTGCTGTTAGTGAAGCTGGCACAAATTCATCATGTATACAATTTTTTTCCGCAATGGCTTTCTCTATTAGTGAAGTCTCTAGAAAAAAAATAAAAAAAAATATATACGACACGACGCAATGCACCTTGGGTCGCTATGGAAACAACCTCCTTGTATAATTACAAGGGTAAGGTCTGCGTACAATTGACCCCCCAGACCCCAACCCGTTTGGGAATATATTGAGTATGTTGTTGTTGTTGTTGTATTAGAGATGCATAGCAAAAGTGGGTGCAATCTGTATATCTTGAAAAAAAATGGGGGGTGGCATAGTTTGATATTGATTGATGCCGCCAAAATCTGGTTCAACTAACAGATGGCGCGAATGTAAGATGAACATGTTTTGGTAGTTTGTAATTTACGTGGGTATATTATTTAACCTCCGTAAACATCAATGGCAAACTCTGTCATGATTTAAAATATAAAATGAAGGCGGTACTAGAAATTTTTAAATTTGGTTGGGTCACTGTTTACCATTGACTGATGACGGAAAATAACGTCAGACTGAAATCCCTCCATAACGGCAGCCATGGCGCCTGTGTTACCGTCATTATTCACAAAGTTCTAATGTCAGTGAGGCAAAAATCCATATAGAGTAGTTTTCCATAATTAAACCATCACACCCGCGAACTTACACATATATATATGTATATATTGAGAGTATCAGGTGCTGGAACTGCGGGAAGAGAGGAGGAGGCTGAGGAAGCAAAACGAAAGCCTCAAGGAGGAGATGGAGCGGCTTCAGGCCACCCACCGCTCGGACATGGAGGAGCTTGTCCACCTCCGTTGGGTCAATGCCTGCCTCCGTCAGCAGCTCCGCAACCCGAACCTCCCCTCTCCCGACCCTGCCCGGCCCGAAGAGAAACCCCTCCACTCCTCGGCCGGCCCCGACACCTCCGACCTCGAGTCCTCCTCCCAAGCCTCGTGCCTCACAGACGAGTCAGCCCCCGAGACGAACAAAACCGAGGGGTTGAGCAAGCCGAAGGTGTTTGAGAAGCTCAAGAAGCTGCTGCGAAGAGGAGGGAAAGAAGGGAAGGGGCAAAACGGGAAAAAGACAAAGCTGGAGCGAGCGGCGTCCGTGGACGATATTGCGGGGAAGCTGGAGAGCGAGTTCCTGCAGTTGGAGGCGGGGGGTGAGTCGTCATTAGGGGGCTCGTCGGCCACCAGCAGGCGCTCGTTCGACATGCCTAGATTGGGGTCGAGGGGGCGTAAGGGGGGCGTAGGCCCATGGGAGAGCAGCAATTGCTCGTCCAGGACAATGGGCTCCCTGACGGAGGAGGAGGAGGACGAGTACTGGTCTCCTGGCGGGCCTCAGGTGCAGGAAGACGTGAAGAACAAGCTGCTCAAGTACGCGGAGACCCTGAACAGGGCCCACTCCAAGAAGTTCCCCAAGCCGGCTGCTGGTTTTGAGTAACGTTGATGTTTTTTTTTTTTTCTATGTACTTTTTGTCGTGTATGTATTTCTTATTTATGCATTTGGATTAGGAGAGGTTTATGTTGGATGGAGGGATGTGTTGATGTAAGACTGTAAATCAGTTAGGTAAGCCAAGTAGGAAAAACATCCACCTTGCATATAAAATATGAGTTTTAAGTGAACGCAAAGAAGCAAGTGCATGAGCAACATTGTTGGTTGATCAACGCGTATGGTGAAGTTGTCTTCTTGTTGTTGCTGCTTCGAACAATAGTATTGCATTAATATTATTAGCCCAAGCGCGGATATGTCCATGGGTCTCATTGAAGTCGACAATTGCTTGTACCGCCAACAAAGGGTCCATATAGATTAAGAGAGGAACACGACTCGAATTATAACATTTATCCAATCTTTCCTTTATATAGCCTGAAGCTCACAGTGGCTGAGTGCTGACAGAACCCGGATAACTAACTAGCATTCCAGAGGCAAAGAACGGTGCCATGATTGTAACGGGTAATACCTGGACTTGCCCGTTTTCATGTTGACACTTACATCCACATAGAGATGAACTTATTTTTCAGAATAATATGAGTAGAAGCACTAATTTTTTNNNTTCTAGTTTTGCATACAGGTAGAGATGAAAAATGAATGCATGGATGTATCACCAGACGTTGCACAACTTACAACTATGTGAGAATGAGATGTGGTGATTAGCTTAAATTTATCGAGATGGGGATGGAGTTATTCTCTTTTACATCAATTTTTTATTTTAACTTTTTTTTTATTGTTCACATATTTTTACAACTTTACAAATTAAAATACACTATTATTTTAAATTTCATTTTGGAATTCATGTCTTAAAACTAATTATAAAATTATAATTCATATTCATATATGTAATAAAAATGAAGAAATAAATATTCATTAAAAATTAAAAATTACATTGTACAAGCTGAAAAATTATAATACATTGAGATGAAAATAAAATAATTATTCGTACAGGTAAAAGATAAATAGTATTTCAAGTCTCGGAACTTGTCAATCCTCCCACAAGTGATCAATTAGTGCATTCCAAAGTACAATGTAGTCATCTTTATTTTTTATTTTTATTATTTTTTGTACCGAGATGAAATTTTAAAATCGAGTACTTTCATCTATTGTCATTTCGAACTCCAACGGCGGTGTTTGCATCTCAGTTTTGTTGGTGCACTTAGGTCGCGTTAATCCTCGACAATCATGTTATGCAAAAATAGGTGTTATACCATGCAGCACTTCTTTTATCCAATAATGTGTTGGCCCTGTTACAATGCCAAAATGTGATTGAAAAACTCCAAATGAACGTTCAACGTCTTTCCTGCATATTTCTTGTTTCATTGCAAAATATTTTTTCTTCGTACCACGTGGCTCATGAATTGTCTGCATAATGGTCAGCTAAATAATAACTCATTTGTCTTCTTTTCTTTAAAATATATAATGAGCTGAAGGACCAATACCTTGGTCTGGAAAGGAGAGAGAAGACGCAAGAACACAATTTACATATTCTTTTTGTGTACAGTTAAAAAAATGGAATTTGCGTTTCGGTTGGAGATGGTCTTAGCCAAACCCAACAGAAGAGCGAGAAACTGAAAAGCACCTTGAGCCTTTAGGCCTATGGAAAATTCTTCTAATTTTGGGGTCCTTTCTTTTAGGTCAACCTCTGTCCCCAACATCCTCCAACACAAAATTTATTTTCCTCCACAAAATATTATACCTTCTCTTTTTTCCTCTAATTCTCTCTCTCTCTCTCTCTCTCTCTCTCTCTCTCTCTCTCTCTCTCCTCTAACTTTCCATGCTTCTGTCCACTGATCAAACAAATCCAAACACAAAAATATCATCATTCCCTTTCTCCTCAGGAATTCAACCTGCTGCTGTTTCCATGCCCAAATCTTTCCCCTCTCCTCATTTTTGCACACACATCTCCATAAACTTCAATCCTCCTCCTCAAATGTAAATAAATCATCAAGACACCCCATGTTGGCATCTTGCCATAATCTCCAAATTCCTCCATTCTCAATCCCATTCAGACATACAAAATCATAAACTAATAACAAATAACTAAAAAAAAAAAGAGGAACAACTCCTCTATTAATGGCTCACCAGGCGGCCACGAGGTCCCAATCGGTATCCACCTCCCAGCAATCAACGGTCCAGAAGCTAACCAACGACCCAGTCACGAACAAGACGGCCCAGACAACCGTCACGTGCGTGTACCAGGCCCACATATCGGGCTTCTGGCGGAATGTGACCATCCTGTGGGCCAAGAACCTCATGAACTACTCGTTCAGCATCTCGGTCGACAGCGCCGAGCAAGAAAACCTCGTCTACACATCTAAAATCGACCTAAAGCCCTGGCACTTCTGGGCCAAGAAAGGGTACAAAACGCTCGATGTCGACGGGTGCCAGTTGGACGCCTACTGGGATCTCCGGTCAGCCAAGTTTGCCAGCGGGCCCGAGCCCTCGTCCGATTACTATGTTGCCCTCGTCTCGGAAGAGGAAGTCGTGCTCCTGCTTGGGGACCTCAAGAAGAAGGCGTACAAACGGACCAAGGCCCGGCCCGCGCTCGTTGAGCCCATGATCTTCTACAAGAAGGAGAACGTGTTCGGGAAGAAGTCGTTCTCGACACGGGCCCGGTTTGACCAGCGGCGGCGGGAGCACGAGATTGTGGTGGAGAGCTCGACAGCGGGCCCTCGGGAGCCTGAGATGTGGATCAGCATTGATGGGATTGTGCTGGTGCATGTGAAGAATCTGCAGTGGAAGTTCCGGGGGAATCAGACGGTTCTGGTCAATAAAATGCCGGTGAAGGTGTACTGGGACGTGCACGCGTGGCTGTTCTGCACACCTGGCTCCAATCACGGGCTTTTTATATTCAAGTCAGGGGAGGGGGAAGGGGACAGTGATGACGAGGACAGCAGCAGAGGGGACGATAGTGAGTGTAGCGGGAATAGCAAGTATTACTCGACCCAGAGCTATTCGAAATGTACCGATTTTTGTCTTTTTCTGTATGCGTGGAAGATCGAGTGAGGACTGTGTCTGGAGCTCGTCTGAAACAAAATTCAGAAGAGAAAAAAAAAAGAAAAAAAAAGAAGAAGAAAGAATTAAATCAAATTTTTTTACAGAGATTTTTATTATATATAATGCATTTTTTGTGGTTACGTTTCGGGTGCTGGGAATTGGTTTATAAGAATACGATGATCAAGATAGAATGGAACTATGGTGATGAGTGCAATAAAAATGGGGAAAGTAGGCAATGGGAACTAGTAAGATAATTTGTAGAACAAGGGAAATACTGACATACTGTAAATGTATTAAGAGATTGTTTCATTTGTGGAACCGGTACTGCTGAGGGTTCGATTTCTAATCGTTGTTCTAATACTTGGGTGAATGAGTGATTTAATGAATTTTATAAGTTAAAATCGTCTGAAAACAGAAGTTGTCTGCTATTAGAATTAAGAAGCTACATACAATGTGTTGAAATTATGTGGAAATATAGAGCATTCACAGTTTTTGAAGGTTTTATATGCTTCTACGAAACTCAAGGTGTGTGTTCTATAGATGATGCAATCAAGCAAGTGGCATACTTAAATGAGGAATGGAGAAAGGGGTTATTTAGGTTGTCCAAATTGATTCATGTAATAAAGTTTTCTTTTGTGGTTCTCATTAGCCAATGCAGTATCATATTGGATGGATGTTTGTGCATGATGTCATAGTTGTACATGTAATATCCTATTGGAATTTGATGCTAGAAAATGATGGATGGATGAACTAGAGAGTGAGTTAGAAGCATGTGATATCATCCCTAAAAAGGTAAACAACAGACAAAACCAGCATTAAGAGATCAAAGAGTGAAGGCAAAGAACTGATGCACATGCAGAAAAAAAAGAAGTGATAATAACTGATCAATTCATGATTTCATTTCGCCAAAATTCGGTCACTGTTACATGATATCATTCCACTATGATGGAAATCAGTAAATAAGAAAAAAAATAAATGACAAGAATAAAACATGTCTATTATCTACGTATCACAAAGATGCCAAACATTTGAATAAACTCATCCACCTTTTCATCTATTCTGTATACGTATATTTATTTACACTACATGAAAAATTCACCCAAAAGAAACTATCAGTATAAAAAAATCACTCACGACATTTCACGTGCATGAAGAAAGTCGAAGAAGAAGCCTTCTCTCTTCTTGCAGAGACTCGAAAATCCGCACAGCCGACTCGGGAGCTGATTTCTGGTTGTGGGGCACAACTCTGACCACTCTCGACTTTGGTCCTTCGTTTGCATCCTTCACGGCCTCGCTTGATGGGGTCATAGGGAAAAGGGTAAGACAGTCCTTTTCCACCGGCTCTTCTTTGGATGGAAAATTTTCAGCACTAGGATTATATACCGGTGGCACTGCGCAATGACGGACATAACCTTGGCCAATTTCATTTCCAAGGGCGAAACCACTGCTCGGAAAACAAGGCCCAGGAAAGGGCTTGTAAATGAGTCCCTCGGATGGGGATTTAATTGGGACTAGCCATTGGTTCCGAGTAGGCTGATGAAAAATATGTGGTGATAATATATTAGCATTGGTACTAGGAATAATTGTTGGGTTTGTTGGAAGCTTTGGATGAAAGTTTACATTTTCAGTATCGGTTTTTGATCGGTCAAGAGAGTTCGCATAGAGAAAGTTATCCATTGGGGGGAATTGGATTGGTGGCTTGTTTGCATTGAAGTTTTTGTGGAGCAGCTTTTGTTGAGATCTGGCCATACATCTCTGCACCTGTAATAAAAGTGGTAATCGGTATTTAACAATAAATGTCAGATCGTAAAGTAGCAACAGCAAACAACGGCTAGGGGAAAAAACACTCTTTACCTTTATAAGCCTGTGTAACTCAAGTATCTGGCCAGAAAATATTTTCTGCTGGCTGCATACATGTGTGAAATATTTGTGAAATTGATGAGCTGAACAGAAGTAAAATTGCAGTACTAGTCATGCAATGAAAAAAAGGTGACAAACTGATCTTGCAAAATGCATGATCTGCAAAATAGTCCAGTGACTATTAAAACATATATGTGAAATAGTGTTTTTTAATTTCTAGAGGATCATTTTTTTATTTATTTATCTTTTTTCCCGATTCACACTGAACATCGAGAGCTTCATATTAACCCGCCTGTAGATTTAAACCATTCCATAATGAATTAATACCTGTTAACATAATTAGATCTCAACATTTCATAGAGAACAAATGAAATCTATAGCAGCAGCACACAAACAAATGTTAGAAGTATATATAAACACTTACTCTAGAATTGTACGTCTTGCTTTCTGAAACAGACTGTCACCAATAACTTTCACGACATCATCAGGAGTTAAGTGAGAACTTTGTGCAGAGTCTTCCTTACTACTGTCTGCCATATCTCTCTTTTCGTCCAAATTTCCTGAATCTTTTCCTTCGGGGCTCTCCTTTATTATCCATTCTATTTTACCCGGTTTGTTAGAGTCTCCGGATCCAAGATACAGCTGTGGAAAGATCTCCATAACAGAAGCACATCTTTTTCTTTTAACTCTTTCGAGCATACCATCAGTAACCGCCTCTGACATTAGCAAAACTTTAGAAAAATTGTTTCCATCTACAGAGGCATCAGGTGTATGTTTGTTTTCGGAAAGTTTACTATTTTCTTCGTGGATGTTGAATAATTCAATATTTTCATACTTGAGAGTTTCCATCATCAAATTCGCTCTTCCATCGTTCATTGGATCCCAGATGATCGGGTTGGTTTTCCTTAGTGAACTTCTGGATATTAATCCAACAGAACAGTGAGGATAAATATCTGTTGAGTCAGGGAGCACTTTCTGCTTTGAAATAGAAACCTGCAATCATTTAACGATTTGGAATATGATTTTTATGCAGTATAATAATTAATCAGCTATCCAAAGAAAATAACGTGCCCGAAAAAAAAGGAAGAAAAAAGCTAGTGATAGAAAATAGCAAGTGATTTTCAGACAGCTTCACTATTAGATATAACAGAAACATAAACATAAAATTTACTGGTGCAGATGCAAATACAACACACATCCTTGTGAGGCGATCGACTGAAGATGTTCTTGAGGAAGTTCATTAAAAATGTATGCAATAAACCATGAGATTTTTGCAGTTATTTATTTTAATGAACAGATCAAATCCAATTTCAATTCTTTCCATAGGAGAATTGAATCTAACAACGCATTAGCTAATAAAGAATCTGATTCAGTCGTAGCACAAGCAAGAAACTATTCAAGAATCAAAATTTAACAGCATCCGAATATCTTAAGAGAAAGAGTGTGGCAGCTGAACAGAAAGTATTTTATTCCTGCAAAAAGGTCGAATCGAATCAGAAGTAAAATCCAAACTCTCAGAGGGTAAACATGTTCTTGAAATCAGATACTAAGTAATTATGCACAGTTCGGATCAAAACGAAATGAATTATGCCAAAATCTAAGAATCGCTTTTTCAAGGAGTATGCTTTGAAATCCTACAATGGATTAGTCTATCTATATCAACCATAATGTCGCATTCATAACCGTCAAATCATAACATAACCATTATATAAAACCTCACATTGCTTAAAGATGCTGGTGTAACAAAGCTACTAACACCACTGCCACATTTACGAGGTAGCACGACAAGTGATTTTGAACGATGATAAGGCACACTATCTTCTTCAAAACACGTCACCTCTTTCTCGACATCTTTTACACCTTTCATAGCCATTTTTGTTCCCCCTTTTCAAACTTCCAAGTGAACGTAAAAATGCATTTTTATCCAATTGAGAAATATATCTGTCAACAAATTCAAACAACTCCATATCCAGTAATGGCCATTTTACAAATAAAAATAACAATCACACATCTAAGCTTAGCGAAACACAAAACAAAAGGCCATGGCTCCATGAAAATAGGAATCCGAAGATAATTAATTCCTCAGAGTCTATGATTAGCATGAAAAAACGGGGAAAAGGCATAACGAGGAAGAGGAAAAATGGCGGAGAAAAAATCCGATTAACTTACCGAGCTGTTGGGATTAGCCAATTTCAGTAAAGATCCAAACTTTGAACTGAAACTCGGGGAAAATGTGCGATGGAAAATGCCATTTTATAGCAAGCATTGTCAAGTGAAGAGAGAGAAAAAGAGAGATCTGAGAGAGAGAAAGTTAAGGGGTTGAGACACAGATGGAGACGATAGACAGATTACGGTGAGCGAAAGAAGTGGGTCATCTCAGAAGATCAAATCAGCAGACATTTTTGGATGAGAGAGAGAGAGAGAGTCAGAGAGAACAATAATATCTTCGGATCAAATTTTGATTCAGGGCCCCAAGAGAGAGGGAAAAATGGGAGTAAATGAAATTTTTTATCTTCTCATTCTTCCTCAAGATAATAATAAATTACAGAGATATGACAGTCCCGTTATGTAATCATTTCGTCAGAGTTTGTAACTGTTAGATAAGCTATTTCCGACGGTTATATTATGATCTATCGGTTACAAACCTCGAAAGAATGATTGCGTAACGGGACCGTAACATTTCACAATTAATTAAGATGCACGAACCAACTTGTTACTTAAAATCTTTTTTAAAATTTTATTTAGCATCTCATTAATCATTATTGCAAGGAAAAAAAAATGTGGAAAATTATATATTATTTTATTTGAATTTAATAAGTGTTCTCAACAAAACTAATAACATTTAACACATGATATATGATAAAATTAATTATATAAATTCGTCATTCTTTTTAAATATATATTAATTACAAAATAACTAGTTATCATCTTGTGCACATGCACATATGTACATAAAATATTATTAGTAATATGTGTGAATTTAATATTAAAATTATAGATGATAAACATATCACATTTTCAAGATATGTGAATTTAATATTAAAATTCTAGATAATAAACATATCACATTTTCAAGATATGTGAATTTAATATTAAAATTTTAGATAATGGACATACCACATTTTCAAGATTCAATCATTAGTAAAAATAAAATAATATTTATATAAATTATTTGAGTACATATGAATCACTATATTGATTAAAAAATTGTGGGTAATGTAATTTTTATGATTTGGAGGGATCATGGTCGAATAATTTCCTTATTATTATAATTATTATTATTATTACTATTTATATTACAACGACAATTGTTTATAAGATTTTAAAGTTTTTTTACTATACTATTAAAACTATTTACTAATTGTTTCTAAAGGATTTTTTTTGCTATTAAGATTTTGCCTTTCACATTAATACACCCTATTAAGTGTAATCATGTATTTTATTGCTATTATATTATATAATAGTTAATGCTATTACCAACTCATAATATTTCACACTAAATATAAATTATATAAGTATAAACAATTTTATTGTTTCAAGATATTATTATTATTATTATTATTATTATTATTATTATTATTATTATTATTATTATTATTATTATTATTATTATTATTATTATTATAGTAGTTAATGATATTTTTTGCTATTATATTTTTTGTTACCCAATTTTGGCCTCGCCTATTAAAATATAACACGTGGATATATATATTAAATCACGTGGATTTGTATTAAATCAATTGTTGTAATTTATCTTATTGTTAAGGCCCAAAACTAATACCGCTTGTAATAATATCGGGCCCAATAAATATCCATATATATAATTCCCCATGATGGATAGACACAAGAATTATGGTCTTCTGAGGGACTTCTATTTTGATCTGATCTATTTTTTCTCTCTCCCACCGCTTAAGAAACAGGGGAGATAATCATCTATGAGCCCCCATCTTCAATC